TCCGAACATTTCAACATGTTTAGGTAGGTACAATGTAGGTAGGTAACCCGGACTTCAATTTATTGATTCGCGGCTACCTAGCTTCATTAATCTACCTTCACCTTCCCATCAATGTATATACATGCCTAATTCAGGCGATATATAGTGTGCAAGGTACTCCGTGCCTCTTCACCCGCGGGTACTCCCCGTCTATTTGAGCCTAAACCCCAGCTGAAACTTGTAGTAGCCCTAAATGGTGATATCTGCCTACAACCAATTATTTAGGGTGAACACACATTACCATTTACCTAACAACGTCTGATGGTGGCAAAGGACCGATCGTTGGTTCATAAGCACAGCTCTGAGACCTGTCTCTGACGCTGCGGAAAGGATAACAAATGTTACACGCAAGAAAAAGTGCTTCAACAATGTCGAAGTTCGTCCTAGTTACATTCGTACCAAACGATATCGGGTATATACATGCTCAGATGTTTAATGCTCTTGGCAAATCTGGAGGTACGGAACACATAGGGACTAATGTACCGGGCTAGTAGGTTATGTATGTCATCGGTGGGCTCTCTCCGCATAAATTTACAAAGCACCTGAACATTCATGCGGGAGCCTGGATAGAGAAGCTCGATTGAAACAACCTTATTATTACTTCGTAATGCAGACCAGACTCCAGCAATCCTAAAAATATTGATAAGTGAACCAGCTGCCCTTAAATTTTATATCGTCGGTGAAGTTTACATTATCCTGTGGCGGACGAAGTGCCGTAATAAAAATTCAGCGCTAACGCTGCGGGTAAGAAATAAAAGATACGATCTAGCCAACCGCCCGCCCAGATAAGGTTAGATGTGTCTATTTATAGGCTAAGGGTCGTCAACATATCAGCACTTTAAACCCCCTATCGAGACCATCTCCTTCATAGTTCGTTAGATATACGATCTCAAACCCGGCCTTTCCATGCACCTGGTCGCATTTAAGTTACATTGCTCTTACATATATGGTCGCCATTATATGATTATCAAGACAGATACCTCTTTATGTTAAGGAAAGGGCTCTTCTCGACCTACAAAACTGTCGGATAACCTACGCGGGCGACAAGCTCTCAAGCGACGATGTGACCTCGGCCTTGCTTCACATGTCCAGGTTGCCCTGCAATCCGCCGAGATTACTCCTCTGAAACCACTATGCCGAGCTCAAATGACGTATATGAACTACATATGTAGGCATGCGAAACAAAAGAGTAGAAAAGTAACCATATAATTATCCTAGTATTAAACTATCTCATAGATATCGTCTCACCTGCTTGCTTTCACCGTCTGGTGGTGCATGTGAGGATAGCAATAAACACACAGAGGTACTTCCCGATCTCAGATAAGAACATTTGATTATGTAAATGGAAGCTCTCCACATTGTAAGTACGTAGGTAATTACATAATACGCGCTACACGGACTTACTGTTAACCGTTTTCGGAATCGTGCCTCACTATTGCAGATGCAAGAGTCATTAAGTCCGACCAGAGGGAGGAACATGGACCCCGAGCTTTGACAGTAGCTTACTGAGCTCCCAAATCCACTTCATGACTTACCTTTCGTATGATGTCAAGTCTATCAAGACCTTGAAAGGAGCTCCGCAACACACAGTTCTCACTTCCCTCTTGTTAGAGACACTGACGTATGCTTTCTTTTGAGTTCCCAATCGAGCAATCTAATTGGGAACTTTCAAATACAAATCAACTGTCTCAATTGTTGTGAGAGCCTTATAGAGAAAATAAACAAATTCAACTTCTCAGGTTATACCCAAGCGCCATAGAATCTCAGTGCCACGATGGCTACCGCCAAGTGTAATACCCTAAACATCTCTACGAGAGATGTTGCTGGGTACCTCCCGATCGAGAACTATGGCTTGATCGGAAACATGAGAACGTGCGCATTAGTAAGCATGGATGGGAGTATAGGTGGGTAGAAAAAGCCTTTGACTCGACGTTATAATCGCCAGAAACTAACAGGAGCGTATCTTGCTCCAATCAGATTTCATGTGTTGGTGGGTTCCTCTCATTATTCCTCCCGTCTGGGGTATATGCTCAACCTGATCCGATCCCCCGGCATCCCAATATGAGGAAGGTGGTTCTATCGTCGGCACAGATTAGCAGGGTGCTGTGCCACTAACCATATTTGTTGAGAACCTCGACTTCATCGGAGAAAGGAAGCTTGATCATATGTCGGAATGTAACTAAGTCCAGTTCATAGGCCGGACTTTGACTCACCATCTGTATTCTGCCGTCTCCTCGACAAAGACAAGGGGGGCTACTTCAGCATAGCTCCCCCCGAACCCGGATCATGTACAACCAAGCAGCAATACCTTCCTTCTGCTGCAATTCTTCAAACTCGGTACATCAGTGAAGATGGCGTCGTTGACGTTGTGGACTTCTTTCCTCGCCCAAAAGAAGCCATTGTTTTATCCACGAAATATAAGCACAATGCCTACCGGGAGACCAAGCACGTGTATGAGGAGCTGAAGAAGTGGCTAGTCCGGCGAGTCGAATGTATCCGCGGTCAGATGTCCCTAGGTTAGTCAGATTTACCTTCGGCTTTTACATCCGGTCTACTAATATGTTTATAGACGTAGAGGTCTTTCCAGCATTCGACTATGCAGTTGAGCCTCACACCACCACGATACTACAAAATGTGCGAGCAGGCGACAGCCCTCAGAGCAAGACCGTCACATTTCACAGCAAAAACCTCAAGCTTCAACTCGATGTGACAATTGATTGCGGCGGGGAAGATTCAATCACTAGCCCCGATCTTATCTTCAAAAAGGTGAAGAAAGAAGGTATGCATGGCGAAGGGGTCGTCGCCAATTTCACGCTACAAGAAGGCCAGGCGATTTCATTTGTTATTCGAGAAGACATATCGAATCATGTGACCGAGAATATCACGAGCGAAATCCTTGACTCCCGGCAACATGATACCCAAGCGTACTGGCTCAACTGGCTTTCTAAAAGCAACTATAAGGGCGCCTGGCGTGAAGTGGTTATGAGAAGTTTCATGATACTGAAAATGCTGACCTACGAGCCCACGGGCGCTATTGTCGCAGCTCCTACTTTCTCAATACCTGAAGCGATCGGTGGAGTTCGGTAGGTTTGGTTCTACCCCTAGCCCTCAAGGACATGTGAATGACCAACAAGATATAGCAACTGGGACTACCGTTTCTCCTGGGTTCGCGACTCTAGCTTCACAATCTACATATTTCTACGTATGGGATTTACGGAAGAAGCAGACGCCTATATGGAGTTTATTAGCGGCCTAGTTCAGGAAACAATGGCGGAGGGTGGTGACTTGCCGATTATGTTCACTATTCGAGGTGAAACTGAGATACCTGAAATAGAGCTTGAGCATCTTGAAGGCTACAAGGGCAGCAAACCGGTCCGAATCGGAAATGGAGCAGCATACCACAAGCAGTTCGACATCTACGGTGAGCTTATGGATGCTATTTATCTGTATAACAAATATGGGAAACCCATATCTTGGGATACATGGGTGTCTGTTCGTAAGATGCTCGGTGAGTCATCTGACTAAGCCCTATAATGTCTGCGTTTCTCTAATTCATATTGAATAGACCATGTTCTGACCATACTGGACGGTATGTGGATGTTACCATTGGAGCAGTTTGAGAATACTAACAATAAAGCTCCTTAGAGCCGGATATGTCGATATGGGAGGTTCGAAATAACAAGCAGCACTTTGTTTACTCGAAGGTTATGCTCTGGGTAGCATTTGATAGAGGACTCCGACTCGCCGAAAAGAGATGCCTACCCTGCCCCAATCGAGCAAAGTGGCTAGAGGCTCGAGACTCTATATGCGAGGAAGTGATGGAGAAAGGTTATTAACCCGGCTTTCCTTGCTAGGGTCATCATCGCTAACCCAGGAAATACGTAGGGTACAATACGGAGATGGAGAGCTTTGTCCAAAGCTACGAGAACAACACAATGGTAGACTCATCGATCTTGATAGCTCCCCTTGTCTTCTTCATCACGCCCAACGACCCACGTTTCCTCAAAACCGTCGACCGGATTCTCCTCCCACCAGAGAAAGGTGGGCTCACGAGCGCAGGTCTCGTCTACCGTTACAATACGGACCTTTCAAACGACGGTAAGTTCTCCACCGTCAACCCCTTTTCTCGCCTCACCTTTGCTAACACACCTTCAAGGTGTGGGTGGTCATGAAGGTGCATTTAGTATGTGTACCTTCTGGCTAGTGGAAGCCTTGACTCGGGCGTCGGTGTATGAACCTGGCTATTTAGGGCGGGCTGTCAATCTTTTCGAGAATATGCTTAGCTTCTCCAATCACCTATCCATGTTCTCGGAGGAAATTTCTCGTAGCGGTGAGCAACTCGGCAACACACCGCAGGCCTTCAGCCACTTGGCTCTCATCAGCGCTGCCTTCAACCTCGACCGTGCCAAGGACTTCGCTAGGAAATAGGGACTGTGTACTAGCCGCGATAACCTAATCCGGTTCATGAATTAATTGAATGGACTTATGTATGACACCAGTAAAATTCTATAAGTTTTCTTCCTTTGGATGCCAGGTTATAGCTCTTCTTTTACCGCCCTTTAAGAAGCCAGTATTTCTAAGTACGCCTGCTTACTACGTATAATCTATCACGTTGCAAAAACGACGCCGTAATCGCTATGCTGCGATTACGCTATATATACCGTGACATAATCCTATAACATTTAATTCTCAGTGGCCCATATGACTCTCCTCGGATAACTCATACGAAACGGACAGCATCACGCCTGTAAGACCTTGGCAACTCAACTAAACTCGCATAGATGTCGAAGGACATAGGTAGCTCTTGATATAGGTCATAACGCAAAATAAATGGTGAATCCCGATATAAAGAGGCTCGCAGGAGGCGGGCTGAGTGTAGATGTTTGACGGCCGACTATTAGCGCCTAACTCCTATTATAATGGGGGTTAAAGGTTTCTGTTTATGTGCATACAAAACAAATGCGGGGATAGCTCAGTTGGGAGAGCGTCAGACTGAAGTAAAACTTCAATCTTGGCATCTGAAGGTCGTGCGTTCGATCCGCACTCACCGCATCACAATTTTTTTTCGGCTTTACTTTTGCCTATATAGCGTAGTGGTTAAACGCCTGGCTTCATTCATATTGCTTTTAAGGCAAGCAGTTATGTGTAGGTTTAAACCTTACTATAATTTTCAACCTATTTTAGGGCCCACTTATTCAGGGTTTTTCATCCCGTCGATATCGTATGTATATGTAAGTGCAGCTATGAGCGATCAATATGAAGAGCCACAGCGTTCGGGTTTCACCCCCAACCTGACTTATAATGATGCTGCTACGGTATAAACCAGTTCAGGTCCTTGTTGGGGATTCTTATGACAGCGTTTGTATACCTACATGTACTTTGCCTTTATACCCTAGGGAGAACCGCGAATCCGCGAGTCGCTAATGGAGGGCATGCCTATTCGGTTCTCATTTCTCCAGCCGTGTGCATCATATACTATCACGTAGTAAACGGTAAATCGAGAAGTAGAGGCGCCACAATCATGAGCAGTCGTATACGATGCCTATTGGAAGGAAAAATAGAGGTGTTGGTCTCGAATATTAACTATTATACGTTGCTGATAAGTCCTAGGTACCTCATAGCCTTGCAGTGCATCCCATCGTCTTGGGCTTCGTGGTACAGAGCTTGTACTGCCCCGGCACCTTCTCATTTTCGCTACATACCTGACTTGGTACAAGTCGAGCTGTACAATAGAGAGAATACCAGGTTCAGTGAATGGCTTTTGTTGCAGGAAGACATGTGTCTCTAAGTTAAGGCGTTTAAAAGTGATATTTTTTCATAATTTCGCTTGGGTCTGTGTTACCAAGCCCCGAGCCTCTGATGCCGAACAAGGCTGTCGAACGATGTCGCCGGGGTACTCTATGGGGGCTCGGTAAAGGGGTTGCTCAACACGGCGTGGATCGTACTATTAATACTCAAAGGTTGCACCTAGGTCGGATGGATTCACTTCATGATACCTTGGCGTATACTGTCAATAAGTCCAATTGTTATATCTTGCCCGCGTGACCTCCCCCTGATAACTGCGGTTCACCGAGGGCGGTATGCTTGCGGCTTGAACTATTGGGGAATTGGGGCTCAAGACGATCCTTGTTTGCCTGGTAGGTGTTGGTCCACGCTAAGGCTCTTCCCTCTGCAACAAGCAGCCCAACTGCCGCGGAGCTTTGTATCCTATACTTAGTTGTACGCCTAGTAATCTAGGCATATACTTAGGTAGGTACTAAGAGCTTAGCTTTGCAGTGCTAAGCTTTGAACTGCCGAATGATATTACTGAATAGAGATAGTCGGGGTAACACTACCAAGGTAAGTATGCAAGAAAACCCACATAGCACATCATAACAGGTATAGGTGGTGATCTGAGATATCGATTAGTAATTGCCTGATTAATGATTCATAGATCGGGGTTAAGGTTGACGACTTCATTATGACTGTATCTTCGTGTTAGGTACTTAGTTACTAGCACTTTAGCACAAGAATGACTATCACAATGGAGCGAAACTGAAGCCTAGGTACTTGTAGGCTACAGGACAAGTATAATTCTACGATTGTTTGAATTCTTTCTCATCACCGTATGTGGAGGTTAGGAGACTCTTTGGATCCCTAACAGAGAATTTTAAAGTCCTAAACCCGCCTTATATAATGGGAGAAACTAATGAGGGCCGACCCGAATCCCGTTCGTGATAGTACTGGCGGTATATTCTTGGCTATTAATTTTTATGCAGAGTGGGGCGGGATCCCGAGATGCCGGTTATCAAGATTTCCGGAATTACTGCGCAAATACTGGTGCTTTATATGAATTCCGAACTGAAAGCTTATGTGACCCGGGAGCCAACCGACTACTCCCGGCTATTTGGGCCGTTAATTTACACAAATGGGTCCGTTATGGCGGGGATATCTTGGGTACAAATTGCTAGATGCCCTTCGGACGCCGAGCCGCGTCGCGAGACGCGAGATGACGGCCAGACCGGCCTCCGGCTGACCCCCTATTTAACATAACCATCCCAATTAATACCACGAATCCCGCAGGAACCGAGTATGGATGGTCGTTGTTGATGTTGATAGTTGCCTAAATTCAGCTTAGGTTACCACAACTAGGGAGTTTCCGTATATTCATTGTGTTGCCCTGATGATGTTCTGGTGACCAGTCACGATGTAACGTAGAAAGGCATGTGGGTAGAAAAAAAGAAGTGTGAAGCATAAGACATCCTTCAGCTTTAGCTCCGCCAATCCGGTATTTGGTACCCACTGGACTTACCGATAGAAACGTGGGAAAATCCCCAGATGGCGCCAGCTCACCCTAGTCCCGATAAAGGCAGTTCGTCCTTCATATGTATAGGACTATAGAATTATCTAGCCACAAATGTCACGTAGTGAGCCTACTACATTCTAGAAGGGTGTATTCAAATGCAGCCCACCGCTGAACTAACTTGAAAACCCATACCATCCACGACAGTCACCGCGCCACATCCCGGCAGCTGTTGTGAGCGGTATAGACATTCCAAGAGTAATCCACACCGGCTTTGACGATATAATAGACCCACGCTGTTAAGCATGCAGGGCCGGAATTCGCGGTAAGCTCCTCTATTGTCAGGGTCACATCAGCGGGTATGATGATCGCATGCCATGTCCAAAGGTAGCAAGATCCAGAGGAGTCATTCGAATGAGCAAAATACGGTATGATGATCCTTGGTACATTATGGAGATACCCTCTCGGCTCCGAAACAACGACCTTGAGATATAAAAAGGCGTCGCCTCGTAGAAAATTCAACAGGTCTATCTCATCCATGTGAACAGTGCTGGAGACGAAGTGTCTTTGACCATCCATTTATTGAGCCGCCGACAAGGAGACCCCAAACGAATTCGAAGATACAGCAACAATCTTGTCAGCATGAGTGGAACTGCTGGTTCAGACGGTCCTAAATATGGACAAAGGCTTCCACTTAATATCATCAAGGAAAAGGTAGCTACTGACCCTGACAGCGAATGGGTCTCCATACCGCGAAGCAGCGAAGCCAAAGATGGCTGGGAGAAAGTTACCTATGCGCAGTTCGCCAAAGCAATCAACCACGCCGCCAATGACATTCTAGCCCTAGCTGGCCCGCCGGCCCAGGGCGAGTTCCCGACTATCGCGTACATTGGAACGAATGACTCTCGTTATATCCCATTCGCTTTCGGTGCTGTTAAGGCTGGTTATCAGGTAGGACTCCGGAGTACCTAAATATACCCATTGCTAATGTCCATAGGCGTTGTTCATCTCACCTCGGAATGCTACAGAGGGACAAATTCGACTTTTTCAGGATACCGATTGCCGCTTCATCGCACATACTCCGGAGTACCAGGATGCGGTCGACTCCTGGAAATTAGAGCATGATATGAAGAGTATGGTGGTCGCACCGGAGCGGGATTGGTATAACGGTGAGGAATCAACCCAGATTGATTATGAGAGAAACTTTGAGGAAGGACAATGGGACCCCTTGGTAGTACTTCACACAAGCGGTAGTACTGGCTTCCCGAAGCCTATCATAACCAAGCAGGGGTGGCTCGCATCCATTGATGCATTCAACAACAGCCCCCTAAAGAACGGCGTCTCCATGTGGTGTGTGGAAGTAACTCGTCGAGCGAAGAAGCATATTATCCCGAGTAAGTAACCCCCGACCCCGGTAGTGTGCGAATAAACAATTCTAAAAGCTATACCAGTGCCATTTTTCCACGGATCTGGACTCTACCTCACCATACTCCTGGGTGTCATCTATGGAAGGCCATGCGTATGCCCCATTGGTTCGAAGCCCCTGACGGCAGATCTGGTGTGTGATTATATCAAATACACCGAGGCGGAGTCTATCCTCCTACCGCCTTCGATTCTCGAGGATATGAACCAAGTGCCTGCCCATGTCGAAGCCCTGAAGAAACTGAATGTTGTTATGTTTGGCGGTGGTAAGTTAGCGAAATTCCACATATTTTCACAGCTTAGTATCTGCTATTAGTAACACTTCACGTAGGTAACTTAGCGGCCCAATCGGGTCACGATCTTGTCAAAAAGGGTGTGAAATTGGTAAACCTCATTTCTGCTACTGAGTGAGTCTGACTAATAAAACAACATCTTTTTCTTATACGCGCCCATCAGATCCAGCTAACATATTTTAGGATGCCGTATCCCATTTATTTCCAGCCGAATCAGGAACTATGGCAATATTTCGTATTTGATTCTGATCGAGGCGGGTTGGATTTCCGTCCAAGCCCCGACGACAAAGACGTGTACCGGCTTTTCGTCAAGCGTAAGGATCGCCATCCAGGTATTCAGGGAGTTTTCTATACTTTCCCAGACATAGACGAATACGATACCAAGGACATGTTCCGCCCGCATCCGACACTTGAAGACCATTGGATCTACGCCGGCCGCTCCGATACTGTTATAGTCTTTTCGAACGGCGAGAAACTCAACCCTGTCAGTATTGAGGAAATTGTCACTTACCACCCAGACCTAAAAGGGGCTTTAGTCGTTGGTCAGGAACGGTTCCAACCGGCGATCATCCTTGAGCCTTTCCATCATCCCGCCAATGAGAAAGAGGCGAAGGACCTCATCGACAGCGTTTGGCCTTTAATAGTCAAGGCAAACAAGGAGACCGTGGCTCATGGCCGTATAGAGCATGGCTTTATCATGATCTCGAATCCTGAGAAGCCATTCTTACGGGCAGGAAAGGGAACTATCCAAAGGGGTCTCACCGTCAAGTTATACAAGGAGGAAATTGACGAACTGTACGCAAAGGCTGAGCATTCCCAGCAGGCCAGTGCACCCAAGTTGGACATCAGCTCCGAGACCGCCCTTATGGAGTCTTTACAGCAGCTCTTCCATGAGAGGCTCGAAGCTCCTGAACTGGATCCGGACACCGATTTCTTCACGGCTGGCATTGATTCACTACAGGTGATTAATGCCAGCCGCCTAATCGCCGCCAGTTTGAAGGCAGCGGGAATCGAGGTTGATCATACATCGCTAGCCCCTCGCGTTATCTACTCCA